CCGCTCGATGGGTTCCACAAATTTTAATTTAAATAAGAAATGAAGATTTTCAGGAATATTTAGAAAGGTGGCTCTACCGACTTAAAAAATGTATTGAAATAAATAGAAATTATGTAGAGAAATTAGAAAATATTAATATAAAATTCACTTTTTTTATTATTTTGATTAAATTACAGAATTTATAAGAAATTAGTGACATTCTATATAGTTATATAATATATTCTGTCATTACAATTATTGATAGTTCGAACATTCAACACTATTAACAATACATCTGTGTGTGATCACAATAAGCGGAAGCTAATGTAATTCAGTGAAGCGTCGTTCGGCTAAAAATCGTTTAATTAAATTGTTATCTGGCAACGTTATATATTATTGGGCGCGCATTCGGGATACAAACCGAAGCCGACTTATCATTAAATATAATATTTGCTTCATTTCGGACGGAACAAATTAATATTCGCCACGCTTAATAAATCAAATCGTGATGTTGCTGCGCCCTTTCTCTCTCTCGCCCCGTGTCTCTCTGTTTCTGTCTCACTCGCTGTTATGCCATGTTGCGTCTGGCTATCTCCGTTTCAGAAAGGGTTGGTAATTAAGTTAATGGTCTCGAAACAAGATTGCGTTCGGTTACCAGTTCAACTGTTCCATAGATAAAATTGTTTCTTTATCTTACAAAGTGGTGAATAATTCACGCTATTTAAACGCGACCGCCGCGACAATAATAATTCACTCGGCACTAAGTGCCGCGAATATTTTTCACACCGCATTATCTCATTACGCAATTTATATCAGCTCTCTCTCACTCTCTTTCCACTTGTTATACGGCGGCGGTGGTGGTGGTTGTAGCGACGACGGGGGCGGCAGAGAAAAATTGCCGCGTTTTGTGTATTTAATTCTCCGTCGGTGAGCGAATCCGCACTTAAACGAATGCTCATACCGTTGCAGCCACCACCCTTCGGCCCGATTGCACCCCGTGTGCGGCCTCTAAATAATGTGCATTCTAGCGGAAACTAAGAGAATCCTTATTGTGCTTCGCACAGACCCTAAGTTCGGTTCAAGTTTAGTTTAGGAAAACGGGTAAGCAGCGGCATAATAAATTAACACATTCGAGGGTAAGCGAAGTGGACTGGGACAGATCCGGCACTTTGCGGCCGGAATAATGATGTAATCAGGTGTAAATGTGCCCTGTGTCCTTTAAGTACCTGTTAATCCCACGTACACGACCGGAATTAGAATTTACCCGAATCCACATAAATTGATTCGAATTACGTCAGCACAATGATTTTGAATTACTATTACACATAATATACGAGCATGCGGTTTATGTTATGTTTTTGTTGTTATGTTATACAACAAAATATCTAAAATTATATACATTAAATATTTCATCTTCATTTAAATCAATATTAATTATGATTCGTAACTACTGTCCATAGTATTTTCCATTTTTTAAAATCATATTTGAATGTTTAATGAAAGAAACAAAACGAATTAAATATTGTTTATTATATTAGTATTAACAAACCATCAAAACAAGAAAAAAGTATTGAATATCTTAAACAATAAGTAAAAAGAATCCATATTTAGATTTATAAGCTTTGTAACGATTTTTATTATGATTCCAATTATAAAAATGTATTTATTTTAGTTTACTTTTTAAAATTGATAATGAAGATATAAAAGTAGAAAATAAAAGACTGAATATTAAACGTTTATAGAAAGACTGAAATTAATTAAAAGAACCATAATATATTAGATCTAGGATTCTTTGAAACAAATGCTTATTAATGTTGTTGATAATAGAATTAAAATGACAGTATAGATATCTGATAAATTGTAAAATATTTTGTAGTATTTTATTTAATTTTGTTAATAACGGCGAAAAACTTAAATCAAGATTTTTTTTAGTGTTCGATTATTACAGGAAATCTACTTTTGTAACTTATATTGTACGATTATAGACAAAGGTAGGATATATTGTTCAAATTATATTTTTTTAAGAAAATTTAAAGATCTACTGTTTTGAAATGTAAAAATTTAAATATTTATGAAAATATTTAAGTTTTCTCTTAATATATATTGTTCTATATTATAGCAAAAAATCTGCTTATTCTGTGAGTGCTTTCGTTATGAAATAGATAAATACCATCCTTGGGCATAGGAATAATCTGTGTTTGAAAGTTAAATGAAAAATCAATGTCTTGTGTGTCCTCGTAGTGGCAATAAAGCGAAATTCAATTTCAAAAACTATGTGGCAAATGTCATGAGACACGAGATAAATTTGATTAGGCGAGGAGGGTTCATAAGCCGGTACTAAACGATAACTCGAAAGTTAACCGCTGAAAGGATATTTTCTCGCTTCTTAACTTAGCGACTCCCTTTTAAATGGGTTTCAATAAATGAAGTCGTTGAGCATATAGCTTCATCCCTAGAATATGGCCCTGCCACTGTCTTCGTCTCTTTGAAATATCGCTGCGATTTGATTGCCGAAAGGAATCTTTAGGAACAGGATCAATATATATCAGGACATTCCTCGTTCGTAATCGTTGTCTTAATTACACAAGGAAATATAACTCATTTCGTAAATACGTGCATGCACTATTTATGTATTTAGTGTACATTTTAGGTTGTTGGCACATAGCCCATCGCGGAGAGAGCATACTGAAAGTGAACCAAGGGGCGCTCAAGAAAATCGGATTGGTGTTATCTTTTTTTACCATTCCTGATTATGGCGTCTCCCCACGGCCAGCAATAAATTACTTGCACAGCTCGAATTTGATTTCCACCGCAAGTTGCAAGCTTTACTTCGGATACATTTATCATTATTACTGTTCAGTATAAATCACTTTATTCTATTACATTTTTTAATTATACAGAGCGTATTTTCGTTCTGTCGCTTTTTCTTATATTCTTATGTCTCAATATGGATTTAGTAACAATGAAATACAGCACACAGTACGGAAAATCGGACTGTTTGAAACCGGTATAATTTAAGAACTGACTAATAGAGAAATAAACCACACAGAAAGAAACTTGAGTATAAATAAATTAAAAAAAACGATCATTCATTTATAAACAAATTGTTCAATTAAAATTTGGTTTACACTATGTAAAGTATTTCTATATATAAGATCAAATAAGAATGAAAAAGTACAAGTCTTTTGATATTTCATATTTTTTATTTTAAAGAAAGTATAATAATCAATAAAATAAATTCATTAATATGCAATTTTATATTTTTTTGCTTCTTTTAAATATAATCTAGTACAAGGGTAGATGATCATTAGAGGAAGGACAGATATAAGAATAATAAATAAATATAAATTATACTAACTATTTCATGATGAAAATATTTATTTTAATAATAGTAGTATTAATTCTTATAATAGTAATAATGTAACAACATGTAATAACCGTTTTTACAAATAATACATAATTTATTCGCAGTTAGAAATATGTGGTAATTGGGTTGCCTATAACAAACATAACACAATTGTGATAGTGATAAAAGATCTACAAAATCCAAAGGAAAAATCAAAAAGTTTATTAATTACAGACTATAATATTTAAGTAAAAATGGAAGAAAAATAGAAGCTAAAGGAAAGAAGAAGTAAAATACTACTAGAGTTTCTGGAGTTAACTTAATTTATTATAAATGATGAGAAAAATAGAAGTATACTTTTATTTAGATTCCACATTAACAATTTTAATGTAATATAGTATATTGTATATTTTATATATTAACAAAATATATTAGATTATAACTAAAATACTCGCATTCTAAAATTTAAAATCATTGATCATTTGACACCTTTTACAAATTTTATAAATAATAAATTGCGTAGTTTGGATTATTATAATAATCAACATACAATAAATATTTCAATGACCATTTATAATATATTATAAATATTGTAATGAATATTAAAACAAATATTTTTTGAAATAAAGTTAATTTTATATATTCAGAGTTGCATTCATTTTCCCCAAATATTTATAGTCTTCTGATATGAAGTATACTTAAACTCAATACATCAGCTAATAAATAATAATGAATTGTTATTATAGTATAATAATCAATAACCAATGTCGTAAGCCATCTTTTCTAATACCGTTATTAGATGACTATTAAAAATATAACTATTACATTAGGACACATATTTCGCTTTATAGAATTGGCTAATGCGCAAATTTACTTACTATTCTGTCCTCTAAGTATTTCTTACTTGAGACATCGTCAGCCTAGGTTATTAGCCTAAGTATTATATTGTTAACTGGGTTTCAATGATTTATGTGCTTTTATTACTATTATAAATGTTATTATTATTGTAAATAAGCGCAAAGTGAATGTATATTCAGAATTAACTGAGACTATATGTAATTACAATAAGTTAATTTAGATTTATAACTGTATTCCTAAATAATATTAGTATCCTATTCAATGTATGGATGTTTCTTTTTCAATTTGTATTTTTACTTTATAAATCAATAAACCTATTGACTTTTTGCTGTTAAAATTTTGGCACGAGAGAAAAAAAGTAGATTTAGAAATATAAGTGATTTGAAAAGTGTTTCCATTTTATGTGAGGCAATGAAATTGGTAGCGTGATCGCGCGACTCTAACGAAGTTTTATCTAAAGCTGAAAACGGAGTCCCTTGACAATTTATTATCGAAGGTGGAGATCTCAATTCTATTACTTGAGTGGATGGACATACAGTTATTTTATGGCCTGTCATATTGGCAACATTGCCCGAAGGGTCGTCACCTAACTACTACTACATTCAATATCATTTTATATCAGCACCCTAAGTGCGAATGGCATTACGCCGAAATGTTATTTAATACGGTCCACGTATACATAAGGAAGAAAAAGAAAGAAAAAAACCACGAGAAATATATAGCTTATATATAAAAAATTGTCGATATATTTGGCTATATACAGATTTTTTTAAATATAATTCTAAAATACAGAGTAGTACATTTCATTTGCAGTTCGTAAAACCTATGACTATTTTAGTTTAGAAATTACATGAAATATTATTTTGTACAAAACATCTCTAAAATAACTAGAAAACTACCATTTTGATTTTTTTCTGTATAAAATACTACATATAATATTCGTTTAGGTCACGTTTACAATATTACGCTAGTGTTTACACTTACTATAAGGTACACACTAGTTACTATTTTTTTTTCTTCTTTTACTTTATCCTTAAAAGATTATCAAGTGCCCGTTTTAACAAGTGATAGTTATCATTGTTATCTCCCTTAATCAATCAGCAATCTTCTCAGAATTAATGAATATACAAAAAATTGCACGTTTCGTTTTGGGATCCTGGTCCCTAAAATTTGTCTTCACAAAGACCCTCATTATTCTTCTTTTTTTTTGTTTGTTTATACAATATCTAACAATCATAATAGAAAATCAACCAAAATATTAATAAATTATTTACAAACTTATACTCGGATAGTTTAAAAATATATATTCGAAAAGAAATTAAATATATCAGTTCAAATAAATTACAACCAGTTAGGACCTAAACTATTTTCCAAAACATTCGCAGCATCGTATCTATCCATGTCTTTAAATATCTTAATGAGTTCGGTGAGGGCGTTGCTCTGTCTGTGTCGAGCTTCCCATAAGTCTAATATACAATCAGTCGGAGATGGTTTCGTTGCGAAATAGTTAATGTATCTATCAACGGATAATGCATGTGCCAGCATCCGCCAATCGTTACCTCTGGATGTAGGAGGATCCAGGCATTGACACAGTTGCTTCTTAACAGATCTATTCAACCTAAAAGTAAAGTCGTCGCAAGTAGATACACCTCGATCAGTCACAATGAGATTCTTGGATATTTTCGAAGTAGTCAAATCATCCTGCTTAGAAATTTTGGCACTCTTTGAAGAATTAGCATACTCGTCTTGGCTTAACTGCTTATAACTTTTAGACTCGTTAGATCGACTCGTCTCACTTTGAATCGTCACCTTTGGCACACACTCATGGTACATTTTAGCAGAATTTGTTCTACCTGACACTTCGGTATCATCCCGACACATTATATCAAATACTTGGCCATTCTCGAAACCCTTTTGATTGACTCGCAATTTGAAGCTCAAATTGCGATTCATTTCAAAGGATTCCAACGTGAACGAGCAGTGCAAGCTGTTGCTATTGGCTTGCCACAAGTGTCTAAATGGTATTTCTTGATAATTAGATCCAGGCTTGCAATTCCAACCATCGCTCAAACTATCCAAATGAAGACATAAGTTGTTTCCACCATCATGGAAATTGATCTCCCTAGGCTGATCCATCAAGAAACCTCCAAGTCGTTTCTCCTGTCCAAAAACAGTTTCCATGGAGCTGTTGGTGTCCTCCAAGACGTAAACTCTAATGCTATAATCTACCGAAGACTGGAAACATAATTTCGGTGCAAAAACTGCTAACTTGAGACGCTTAACAGCGTGTCCGTTAATAGATTGACCAACGATAACAAATCGTGACAATGAATCGGTCACTAAATAGGCCGTGTCCTTATCCAACTGACAGAATACGCTTGTATTAATCGTTTCGTGGCCTAAAGTAACAGCAGTTTGCCATTGGGAATCGCTGCAATCGCTTTGTAGGACAGTTATGGCCCAATTTTTCTTGGTTAAATCTGCACAATGGGGTATTCTGAGTACCACGGATTTGCATAAAGTAACGGTTGGGCCGCAGGATACGACGGGGCTTAGCTGTGTTATATTTTCAGCGAGTTTAGGTCGGAAGCAATCTTCATTCAAAATTGATAGGAAAAGCTCCTGCTTCTTCGAACGGGATACAGCGCCATCTGGTATAACTAAGCTAACAGAGCTTTCAGGCAAGTTCAAGTAAGCTCCGATGTGCGTTACCGTCGCGCTGGTATAGTTTCCGCTTGTTGTAGGAGTTACAGCGTAAGCTATCGGCATCTGCAATGGCAATGTTACAGATTCCGTGGCAACTTCGTATGTGGAATCAGCTAAAAAAAAAATAAATTAATATTATACAATTCATATAACTACAATATTGGTATTGTAACGGTTATGCTTACAGTTATTGGTAAAACCACTTAATTGACTTCTTTTTCCGCTAGAGGATTCCAAGGTAGAGCTTGTAGCTGGAGACATCTGAATATCTGAAGCGGATGCTAGATGGGGTACATCGTAATGGTGCTCAGAAACTGAGCGAGTAACCGAAGTTGCGGTGGTAGCAAATGGATATTCATAACAGGGGGGCACAGTTTGAGTCAGATCCGGTTGTAGAGACAAAGACTTTTTATCATGTTCCGGGTAGAACTCTGGGGGGTATTCTGGAAAAATATAAAAAAAAATAATGCATAAGCATAAAGGTTTTTTTGTGTTAGGATACAAAAGGGGAATGAATGCGCATTACTTTGAAAGTTCCCCGGAAACTATTTGACTTGTCGCGATAAATAACGCAGAATTAGTAAACACGGTCATGCGATTAATTACTGTTGAAATTTCAGAAGATGAATGATTCGCGGATTGTAATTCGTCATGTTTTTAGTATGATTCATCATCTGGAAGCGCCAATTTCTCTACGCCATGCAACTAATCCCACCCTTATTTAAGCATTCACTAAAAATAGTTAATTGTAGCTGCAAAGAATGGTGGCACGCGGCCCTAAACTAAAATAGGCTTAAAAGATTGACGATGTTTCTAATTTCCATGTTTTATGGGTATGTTTATTTTCGGAGGATGTTTAGGAAATGTCAATGCTTATTGAAAATAAACAGTACACAGAGCGTGCACTTCAAAGAGACAAAACTTGAGGGAAAAAATGTATTCTTTATTTTAATTTCGTTGCCTGTCGCAGCTCGCTCATAAGTATATACGATTTCAGAAGCAGAAGCATTTTGTTGTTTGGTTTCAGGTGAAGTCTCTCGCTCAGAATAGAATGCAGTCGATCCATTTAAAACAAATTAGAATGTAAGTTATGATATATGATTGCAGTCCATGCATAAACCCAGATAATTACCAAATAAACTTTGAAATATTTCAAAATATAACGCGACTATGAGACACGTTCGCGGCTTAAAGTGCTTTTCGTCTTCACTGCTTTATTTCTTTCCGCAATGGCGGCCTGCACATGTGCATTTCATTTAAAATCTGTACGGGAGACCGTAAAATACTTAACGTTTCTTTAATTGGATCCAGGTAGTTTATCAATCACATACTCTGCTTCCTTTTTCTTGTCTTTCTAAAAACCGTCAGCTGCTTCCGCAATCCTTACATACTTCTTGCACGGATCATGGAAATCAAATTAAATCAACTTGAAAGCGTTTCGAACTACCGACTTAGCACAATTAATTAGTTAGCGCACTAATTGCAACCGCGGTGCAAATATTGTATTATCTACTACTGCGATGCGATTTTAAAATTTATACATTCCATTAATGCCGGGGGTTTTAGATTCAGGGGGATTTCCCTGAATATAAAACGGTGAATATTTAATAAACAATTCCGTATGCAAACTCACCGTTGGCACCCATATTGTAAAGGGACTGATGCTGTCCTCGCTTCTTGTATAGTCTCGCAACGACGAGGGATATGAGGGCGGCGAAAAAAATAGCCACCGTCAGTCCAATGTACAATGCCAAATCCGATTGCGTGTCTGCCAAGTTTGCTGAAACAAAGAAAGTTTTATTCAATCATATTACATCCCCTGTTCGATACATCGATATTGTGGTTTGATTTGATTTGGTTCCGCGAAACGACCATATAATATTTTTCTATTAACCAACGTGATTAATGAATAAATGTTAGAGTTTTCGAGGAAGTGCTACTACATTAATTGCTTTTTCTTATAGCGTTTGCTTAATTTAGGATATTAATAGATGTTTGCGGGTTGGATGCTTTCAGGATAGAGCAATGTTTGCGGAGCATCCGGGGTACTATTATTCCTGAACTAAAACAGCGTAATTAAATATTAAAGAGGAACGTGTGTGGCTGTGTGAAATTGCTGCGGACACAGAAGATCCCTTCCTTTGGACTTGTAATGGGACCTCACGGTTTACTGACCTAATAGCTTATTACATAATGCATTTAGCTTGTACAGTCCGCATTTACACCCTTATTAGGGCCAACCCTTTCATCAAACGTGGGGCGAAGGAGGAGTACGGACGGTCGAAAATAAAAATAAATAGGTAAGTGCTTGAGATTACAGGCCACACGGTTAAACCGCTTCGCATTGTCGCTGCAAAGTGCAAAACACTATATCTAGGACTATTATCTTTCCGACACCCCTTTTATTTCCTCGCCCGAGTCTGCGGAAGCAATATTGAGACCTAACTGAAATCTAAACAGAGATTTTCGCAGGACTGAAAACTCGATTGGGATATTTATGTGTAAATAGCAGGAAATTTCGGATTCCCGCTCTCCTCCCAAACGGTACTACTTTCTTTTCCCGTTTGCGCTCGCTTTTTTTATTTCATTCGCTTCCCTCTCTCTTTTATTCTTTATCCACGTGCCTTGGAGGAATTCTATTTTATACCCTGCGCATTTCCATTCCAATTCTCTTTTTCGGTTTAAACTCGACGAATGCAATATTGATAATTAGTTTTCTCCCCCTAAGCGCGTTCCACTCACACTGACATGCACACTATTTTCGATCACCCTAATTCAATCTCCAACTCTCCAGCTATTTACTAATGAATCAAGAATGTTAACGTTCTTAGTCAAAGGTATATAATTAGTGCCAAGTTTAAACAACAAGTCCAAATAAAAAAATATTATTTAAAAAATGCATATAAATATTTAAATATTGTATTTTTTACATAAGTAATTAAAAAAATGTATATGTTTTATTTACATAATTTACTTTAAAATATGTAAGTAATAAAATCAAATTTATGTTAAAAAAAATAATAATTAAAGAATCGATATAGTTTTGTTGAAAGTTGATTGTGCGTGTTAAATAATAATCCATGGATAAGCGACATCCTGTGTATTTGCACAAATGGCGACGACCAAAAATGTTATAGATTTTCATATGATGCCGGGGATGTGAAAACTAAATTATTGATGCGTTGATGAAATATTTAATGTGGGCACCATACGGGGTTCATTCGCATTTTTTTTGGCCAGTTTGAGAGTGGATGCTGTGACAAAGTGCAATGGGTGGGCGACGAGGGTTTGAGGACGAAGGGGGATGGTTCGGTGCGTTTCCGGTAAAATTCCGAGCATTCCGGACGACCCCGCTAATTGCTGCCACCCCATAATGACGCTTTTGGGGGAGAGGATAGAGAGGAGAGACCATGTGTGTGGTGTGGTATGGCTGAGCTTCAAATATCTTGATGTGTATCGGATGCCCTATTTGGATGACCAGATTTATTACTTGTGCGTGTATAATTATTTTTCGTTATCCGGCCAAATTAGGGTGTAAACGTGGCGCGCCGCGTTCTGGCGCCAATTAAATATCAAATTCATTTCGACGGGGCGCTCGGACAAGCGCTTTTATTAATTTACTTTCTGGGATTTTAATTGCGGAAGCGGTTTTCGGGGTTATCCGCAAAATTAAATGCGTAATTTAGCCACGAACTCGTGCAAAACATCCCCCATAAATCTTCTACTTCGAACAGGGTGAAATCAAGAGAGAGATTCAAACAAAAAATAATGGTACTAGAGTAACAAAAAATTGTTTTCATTGCTACAATAAAAAAAGCTGCACCGCAGGAAACCGATGATAAATCTTAACGGACTTCGGCGAAGATAAAAGAGGGAAGTTTCCTATTGGCAAACAAGTTATTACCCGGGTCAGCATATCTCATTGGAATGGAGCTTCTCTCTATATATAGATAGCTCCGATACATGCAAACTGGAAGTTCCATTATCCTGCAATGAGACCGAGACCATTGCATCCGGAACTCGTGAGATGAAAGTTACCCCAATGCGCTATCATTCAACTGTTCAATACACAGCAATTTTCGACAAACAGCAATCTCCTTAGAAACTCCGCCATTAACTGCACGTTGCTGCGGCAGACTTCCAGCCAAAAGGGAATAAGGACCCTTCCGTGATACTGATCAGGATGAAAGAATTCTGAAACTTCCGACCTTTTCAATTGAATATTTAGACTTTGCTTCTTTCCAGTAAGGTTTCTCTTGCATTTATCGCAGAGAGTTAAAAAGAGAGATTTACTAGGGGTATTTACTATAAAAACGATGTTGCGTGCCCGACCTAATTTATATGAAAGGAAATTGTAGGAAACACGTGAGAGGGGCGCTTGCAAAAAAAAAATCCTTCCCGTCGTATCGACACATTGCGATATATACCAATATGCATGTATATTTATTTAGAATAAATCAATTTGTTTAGGGTTGGAGCAGTTCGCATACGAAACTCATTTGCAATACACATGCAAATTGGGAACGGGCGGTTCCACAGTTTTACAGCATACATCCACAAAACCTTAATTTATTTTTGTTTTTTTTTTGGACACTCCCCCCGCTCACCCAGCACAATAAAATTCCAATTGCACCTATATATCAGGAAACCGGTGAAAAAACGCGACATGTTATAATACAACAACTACAAAATAAAAATAACACAGAGGAGGAAACGAATGGAAAGCAAAACAAAACAAACAACGGCAATTTATTCTTCTCTCATACATCACGAGGCGGCGACTTCATTTAATTATTTTACACTCGAAGCCTCCTCAGGATTGAATGAAGGAGATTATAATTGAATACGAAATTTCGGAAGCACCTATTACGTGATTTACAGATAACGCTTTTACCGGTACCGCGTCTAAAACTGGACATTGAATAACAATGAGCGATCATCAATTTACGAAATCAACATACAAAGCACCTAACCAATGATGTTTCCATATATCACGTTAAAACAAGTAAAACTACGAGAGTTTACGACTTAATAATTTCATTCGAACAAAAATAAATTTAAATTAAAAGAGAATTTGGTTTAAAGATTTATTTGATAATTATCAAATTATTTGAACAATAATTATTAATTATTTATTTGCAAATTAGAAAATACGTGTGGAAAAATAAATAAAAAATCTTCAATAATATGAAAACATACCTGATTAACTAATTATATTTGATGATGATGCAAATATGTATAAAATTGATAATAATAATGAGTAAAAATTTAAAACTTCAATTAATTTAGCCTGAGATCAGTAAAAGTTTTTTTCTTAGAATTTTGTTTAAATAGAATGAGCAATTTATTTAAGAAATAAAAATGCAAACAAATGAAACGAATTGAAGGTATACAAGATCTATAAATAATTGTTAGTTTTGAACTGCTATAGAGTGTAATTCAAAAAGGATGTCCGGCTTTAACAAATGTTATCTCGTTGTGGTTTAAAGTACTTCCAAATTGATTTTATTTCTAAATTGTAACGTCTGTGCCATCCCCGTTGGCACGCAGAGCGTCCGAAATTCGCTATTAGATTCTGCGTGAAGTGTGTGTCACTTTCCCCCATCTGGTATTTCCAGAGGGGGTGTCGAGGCCGGAAAAGCGGGATGGACAATGCATTCCATTACGAGGGGATGAGAAAGATGGAATCGCATTATGAGCACGAGGCCGTCGTTTGTACGCGTCAAAATATTGTGTTTACTTGAAAATTGATTTGTTGCCATTTGTTACACGAGCCTCTAGGAGTGAATACTCGTATATTCAGCGAAATAATATAAAAAAATAAAGTAGGTATAAAATGGGGGTTGTTTTTGTTTGTGTGTGAGTGAGTGAGATAGAGTAAGAGAGATTGCTACACGTGGTAAATATTTGATTTCGCGTCAAAGGGTTTTGTATTGTACCGCAAACAACATTTATCTCTGCAAGAGTTCCGAGATTAATGCGAAAATTATGCAGATTAATTAATTATTTAGATTTTGTATGAAATGTATAAATATTTAAACGGTGGCGCTAGTAGTGATATGCAAATGCGGCCATCGGAGGGGCGAATAATTATTATAAATCACAGCGGTGACCATTCTTGATGCTGATGTTTCGCAATGGGCAGTAGCAGCACCAGCAGCAGTAGTAACAGAGCACCACAACCAACGTGTTCTAAATTTATGCAATGCTTGCTGAGGTACGACTGCTATATCCAAGAGGTGACAACTGGATGAAATATCGTAACTCTAATCAGCCCTTTTCCGATTCGCTCGAGGTCTGCAACAAATTGCAAAGTGCATTGTTAACTGTTACGAGCGCTAACGTAACAGCATTAATCCGGCATTATCCATTTTATATGACACGTAAATTTACGATTCGCTCCGCAGTTACTGAATAGCCTTAATATATTTATCCTGCTGGTATTTATAGAAAGGTGTAAACAGTTTGTGCACGGGTCACTACCGACGCTCGAGATGCCGGACAAAAATTGCAACAATTCAGATGTCAGAGACGCATTTCTAGTCTTTTCGTAAACTGTCGCACATCTAAAATGCTGCAGGATGATCAATTAGCGAGGCACAGAAGCCGCAGCGACGGAACACGTCAAAAGCAAACTTCTATGGTGTCATTCCAACTCTTCTGGAGCTGAAGCGAAAAATGAACAATGGAAAACCTCGGTCTAGATAAATCTTCAAAAGATTACGTTTCGTAATTCAGACACATTCACGGACGTCTCTTGTGGGTGATCTGTTATGAAAT